TGAAACACAAAGGATACAGATTGGGATAGAAGAAATAAAGTTGTCTTTGTTTACAGACAACATGGCTGTCTATGTAGAAAATCTGAAAGAATCAACAGTAACAACAAAACCTCCTGGAACTAATAAGCTATTATAGCAGGGTTGCAGGATATAAGATTAACATTCAAAAGTCTATCGCTTTTCTATACAGCAGCAATGAACAAGTGGAATTTGAAATTAAAAACATATTACCTGGGGCGCCTGGGTGGCTCAGATGGTAAAGCATCTGCCTTTGGCTCAGGTTGTGATCCCAGGGTCCTGGGATCGAGCCCCGCATCGGGCTCCCTGCTCGGCGGGGAACCTGCTTTTCCCTCTCCCTCTGCTGCTCCCCCTGTTTGTGCTCTCTCGCTCTGTCTAATAAATAAATAAAATCTTTGAAAAAAAACCATATTACTTATGTCAACTATACTTAAAAAAATATTTTGAAAACCACATCATTTACATTAGCACCTCCCAAAATAAAATACTTAGGTATAAATCTAAAAAATATGTACAAGATCTATATATGAGGAAAACTACAAGACTCTGATGAAAGAAATCAAAGAACTAAATAAATAGAGAGATGCCCATGGATAAAAAGACTCAATATTGTCAAGATGCCCATTTTTCTCAACTTGATCTATAGATTCAATGCAATCCCAATCAAAGTCCCAGCAAGTTATTTTGTGGATATCAACAAACTGATTCTAAAGTGTATGTGGAAAGGCAAAAGACCTAGAATAGTAACACAATATTGCAGGAGAACAAACTCAGAGAATTGAAATTACCTGACTTCAAGGCTTACGATAAAGACACAGTAATCAAGATTGTGTGATTAGACAAAAATAGACAAAAGAATAGACAAATAGATCAATGGTACAGAATAAATAGTCCAGAAATGGACCCCCATAAATATAGTCAACTGATCTTTGACAAAGTGGCAAAGGCACTTTGCAGGAAAAAAGTCATTTCAATGAATGGTGCTGGAACAATCAGACATCCATATTCAAGAAAAATGTATCTAAACACAGACCTTATGCCCTTTGCAAATTAACTCGACATGGATCACAGACCTCAATGTAAAATGCAAAGCTATAAAACTCCAAGCAGCTAACACAGGAGAAAATCTAAATGATTTTGGGTATGGCGATGACTTTTAATGAGATGCCTTATAAATGAGAAGCTGAACCTCATTAAAATTAAAACCTTCTGCTCTGCAAAAGACTCTGTCAAGAGAGTAAGAAGACAAGCCACAGACTTGGGAGAAAACTTTTGCAAAAGACTTATCTGATGAAGGACTGCTATCCGAAATGAAGAATTCTTAAGACTCAACAATGAGAAAATGAACAATCTGATTTTTAAAATGAGGAAAAGATCTTAACAGACACTAAAGAAGATATACAGATGGCAAGTAAGCATATGAAAAGATGCTCAACATCATATAATCATTAAGTAATTGCAAGTTAAAACAACAATGAAATACCACTACACACATACATAAAAGAATGGCCAAAACCCCAAACATTGACAACACTAAATGCTGTCAAGGATGTGGAACAACAGGAATTCTCACTCATTGCTGGTGAGAATACAAAATGGTACAGCCACTTTGGAAGATAGTTTGGCAGTTTCTTACAAAACTGAACGTATTCTCACCATACAATCCAGCAGCTGTGCTCTTTGGTATTTACCCAAGTTAGGTGAAAAGATATGTCCACACAAAAGTATGCACATGGATATTTATAGTAGCTTTATTCAAAATTGCCTAAACTTGGAAACAACCGTCCTTTAGTAGGTGAAGGGATAAATAAACTGAGGTGCATCTAGACAATGGAATATTATTCAGCGCTAAAAAGAAATGAACTATTAAGCCATGAGAATATATGGAGAGACCTTAATGCATATTACAAAGTGAAAGAATCTAATCTAAAAAGGCTACATACCATATAATTACAACTATATGATGCTCTGGAAAAGGCAAAACTATGGAGACAGTAAAAATATCAGTGGTTGCCAAAGGTTAGGGGGTTAGACAAATAGGCTGAGCACACAGGATTTTTAGGGCAGTGAAACTATTTTGCATAATGGTATAATGGTGGATATATGTCATTATACACTTATCAAAACAATAGAACGTACAACACCAAAAGTGAATTCTAACGTAAACTATGGATTTTGGGTGATCATGATGTGTCACGTAGGATCATCAACTGTCACAAATGTACCACTCTAGCGACAGATATTCATAATGGAGCAGTCTATACGTGTGTGGGGACAGGGGGCATATGGGAAATCTCTGCACTTCCCACTCAATTTTGCTGGAAATCTAAAACTGCTCTAAAAAATAAAGTCCACTTTTAAAGAAATGGTATTCTGGTTATGTAGGGAATTGTTTCTGTAGTTTAAAGAAGTATTGAGGGATTAAATGCCATAATGTCTATAATTTACTTTAAAAACATGTCAGAAGAAGAAACAAAGCAAATATGGAAAAATGTTAACAATTGTTAAATCTCAAGGACAGATGTAGGGAGGTTCTTGCTACTATTCTCCATTTCTGTATTTTTGAAATTTTTCATAATAATAATTTTAAAAGAACTTCCAGCCATGAAAGCTATGAGTTTGGGCAATCTCAAGTAGAACCATTCATATCCGTCCCCTACAATCTGGGCCTGGGTTACTCGAAAAGTTGTAAACCTACTGGGTTGTGATCGTCCCAGTGAAAGCCTGTATAGCACACGCTTGGATTAGGCCGAGTTGGCCGCTGGCCAGGGCTCTGCCTGCCCCTGTGAGCACGCGGGACGGGGCTGGGGTTAAGTCTGCAGAGGGCAGAATGAGGCAGCCACTGACTAGCTGGCATTTTGGGCTTTCCCAGTCAGGCTGGAGGCAGATGCGTGCAGTACACTTTTCACTATTTAACACTTGTGCTTTTTGTAATTGTATAGACTGACTGAAAACAACTGTTTTTCAATAACCCTCCTAGGAAACCCCCTCCCCATTTTATTCAATTAAATGTTTTAGTTTCCACGAACTGCATTTAGCATGGTTATACAATTCTCTGAGCGGCAAATACCGTTTAATCAAAATAATATTTTATTTTTAAAGATTTTACCCATTTATTTGACAAAGAGAGAGGGAACACAAGAGACAGCAAGAGAGGGAACACAAGCAGGGGGAGTGGGAGAGGGAGAAGAAGGCTTCCTGCGGAGCAGGGACACCGATGCGGGGCTTGATTCCAGGACGCCGGGATCACGACCCGAGCCGAAGGCAGAAGCCTAATGACTGAGCCACCCAGGCGCCCCTCAAAATAATATTTTAAAATATCTATTTTCTTGTACTGATGACTCCCCCTTTTCTTCCAAGGGCCTTGGGGAGTTTTAGGGATCTTATAAATGCAAAGAAAAAGAGTTCACATTTAGCTTCTAGCATCCAAACTAGGATTTTATTTTTTTGGAAAGATTTTATTTAATTATTTATTTTAGATCAAGAGAACATGCAGTGCAAGTGGGGGGGGGCGGGGGGTTGGAGTGGAGTGGGAGGGAGAGGGATAAGCAGACTCCATGCTGAGCAAGGAGCAGGTCGCAGGGCTCAATCCCATGACTGGGAGATCATGACCTAAGCCGAAACTGACTGAGCCACCCAGGTGCCCCAAAACTAGGATTTTAAAACAAGAAGTGTCTTTAGGGAAAAAGTTTTGTAAGTCCTTCTATCCCTACTCTTTAGGGAGAATGGCAGTCCTGGTGGAACTGGGGGTGACCCCAGCCTTTTAGGTCACAGAGTCCTATTCAATCAGGAAGAGGAAGGGGGCCAGGGAGGGAGACACCAGTGTCGGGTATATGTCCTAAACACTGTCTCTGGGCTCACGTAGAGTGTCAGATGAATGGAGAGAAACTGGGGGCACCACTTCTGCCCATGTCTTATTTGGGACCCTGGGAGGAGCTTACCTCATGACCTCCCCACACCAACCTTCCACGGGAAGCTACATCAGAGAACACTCAGAGGCACATGTGATCTAGCAGGAGGAGTTTGGCTCTTATGTGATGGAAGGTACCCCACAGTCCCCATGTACCCTCTCAGGGGAAACGAAGCTGAATTGAGAGGCACTGGGCCTGCCGGCAGCCCCCTGGTGAAGGTGAGGTGGCCCTAGAGCAGAGGAGAGTGGGACAGACACTCAGAAGACTCTGGTGCCAGCAGAAGCAACAGTGGGTCTAGTCAACCTGAGAGAGACCAGTCTGTGAGTGACAGCAGAAACACCAATAGGACATGCAGACCCAGTGGTCACCATCCACACAGCAATCCCAGCCCGCTGCTCCATGGCTGAGACTGGCCCTCACATCTATCCAACCACCCCACCCTCCCTCTGATACCACAGGGTCCTGTAAAATATAGCCCTCTCCCCAGTATTTACACATCACCTCAGAGGAGCAGAAAGTAGAGCACTTTCCCCCAAAGACCTAGACTGTGTCAACGACTGCATTTAACCAAGCGCACTGGACCTATGTAAGCATGAGCTGCTCCTGCCCCTTCCTCCTTCTACCCAACAGGGCGGGCTCTTCTGACAAAGACTGAAGGAACTATAGTTCCTTTGCTCATCTGAATGCAACGTGAGAAGATCCAAATCATGCTACAGCCAAAGTTTGTTCTGTGGCACATCCTTCTCCCGAGATGCTCACGACAAGAGTCTCATGACCAAATAAGTCTGGGAACACCTCTATCCTGAATGCCCTGACACACTTTGACATATTGAGGGTTCTGAAGGTTTCACAGTGAAAAGCCTGTTGAATCTTTGTTGATCTCAGCACCATGCTTGGCCCCCACTCCTTCCCTTTGGATAACCTCCATTAATGTCCCAAAGTACATGTGTTCCCATGAACACGCTAAAACCTTGTTCAGTGGAAAAGAAAGTTTGCTGGGCTCACCTATGGAAAACCACATTTAGGCTCCAATGGGCAGCGGCGGTGGGGGGGGGTGTTATTTTCACTTACCTCCTTGCAGAAGAAATGTAGCACCTCCCAAGCAGTTCCCAGGTGGCTCAGGCACATGATGCAGACACTTTCCAGCATTTCCAGCCCCTTGTCAACAGGCACATTTGTGTGATTAGGGTCAGGTATATCCTGCATGCAGGACTTGACTCTAGCTGATTCATGGTTTTCATTTTGCTGCCAGAGACAAGTTGTTAAAATGCAAACACATATTTTTAGTTTTCCTTCACCAACCATCGACTGAAGTGGAAAGAACACTGGATTAAGTGAGGAGTGTAGAAAAACCTGGGTTTGAAGCTCTGCCCATGCACCAGTGGACAACCAGCCCAGTTCAAGTGTCAACAAAACCATCAAAGGCAAATGGAAGTGGACTTGGACACTTCACTGAAAACCCTCCCAGGACAGGATGTGGGCTTCCCAAATTCCTTGGGCATTCCTACATGTCACTCCCATGGCCTCCTTGCCATCTTAGCCCTCCCTGTGTTTGTCCCTCAGACTAAGACCTAAGCAGTCCTGGATTGTATCTGGTGTTTCTGGGGCCTCCTAAGAGCCCATGTCCTAACTCCCATCCCCTTCCCCTTGGCCAGCTTTTGATTTAGGGCTTTTTCCCTCTTCCCTGCTGTGGCCTGATGACTTCAGCTGAACCATAATGCTGAGAGCAGATAGTCTGTAGCCTTGGACATCCCATAGAGCCTTAGATTTGTTCCATAATGACATTAGTAAAAGCTACCTGTTTTGTCTGCCTTGCAGGGCTGTTAAGAGATCAAAGGAATAGGGTGCCTGGGTGGCTCAGGTGGTTAAGCGTCTGCCTTCGGCTCAGGTCATGATCCCAGGGTCCTGGGATCGAGTCCCACATCAGGCTCCCTGCTCCTTGGAAGCCTGCTTCTCCCTCTGCCTCTCTCTCTCTGTCTCTCTGTCTCTCATGAATAAATAAATAAAATCTTAAAAAAAAAATCAAAGGAATAAAAATCTACCTAAGTCTGAGGTTTACTGGAAAGCCCAATACAAATGTCCCTTGTTATTATCTATTTTTATATAATTTAATTTTTGATGTTACACAGTATCTTTAGTGACTCTCCAAACAGCCAGTGTTGTTATCTGTTTTCTCATCTAAGAAAACAAAAGGTTTAGTGAAATATTTTTCTACTCAGAAAAATCTTAAATACAGAAGGAGGGAGTCAGTGGCCTCAGATCCATACCACAAAACACCCCTGTGAAGAGGACGCTAGGGCCTGCACAGACAGGTGCCTCCTAGACCATGTTCCTGCGCTAGTCGTTAGCTACAGATCCAGTTCCTGTTCATTTGGGAACTGCTGACACTGAATTTTCACTGGCTTCGATTTTCTGTTGGCCTTCATTACTTCCTTCCTCCCTCCCTGGCTTCCAAGCTTTTGTGATGTTGAAACCTTTGGCACACAGGGCTGCTGACATACCTTTTGTACACCAAGCTGTTGTGCTCTACTTTTAGAAGTAAACACAATCACATGTTGTTTTAAGGAGCTTCTGGAAACCTCTGGGGGAACAGATTCTGTCCAGCTCCGACAGATTTTGAACAGAAAATTTCCAGTTCTTCTAACTTCCCCACGTATTAGTGGAATATCTGCTCCAGGTCCGAGTATCAACAAAACCATCAAAGGCAAATGGGAGCCAAGCCCTGGACTCTTCACCACTTTCTTCACACAGAATGTGGGCTCAGATATTCTGAACCAATCACATTTCTGGCAGCACCATCAAAACTCTCAACCTAAAATCAGTCTTGGGGAAACTGAAGTAAGGGCAAAACCCCTGGAGAATACTATTAAAGCACTGAAGGTGAAGGGGATACATTTTAATACCCCAACAAATCTCCCCTTAGATTAATTCTGAGCCAAATGAATCATGGCTGCACTGGATTTCTAGCCGAATCGGTTTCCCCACTCCAGTGCTGCAGTCCTCAGAGAGACATTGACCAACAGGAATGATTCCAGGGATGAGGGCCAAGGTAGCTCTTCACCCTGTTGGCAAGTGAGGGGGCTCCCTAAGGCAATCAGAGCCTGAACCTGAGTGGAAAACTCCATAACCCCCAATATTTGATTATCTTCTTGTTCCTGCGTAATTATAAGGTTAGATTCTATTTGGCAAAGCCTGTCATCTAGTCCACCTTGGAATTTCCAGTTGTAAGACATTGGAATGCCCCAGGGGATTCACAAATCCTCACTTCCTCCCTTTCCAAAAGGTGAGATTTTGAAATCCTTATCAACTCTCATGTGTGGGGTGTGCTCAGGTACAACATTTTCTGTTTACAACCATTCTCTGGTAAAGCTTCACTACAATCCCACAAGGATAGGGCAAGTATTACCAGTCTCATCTTATGGTTGAACAAACTAAGGGTTGGAGAGTTTGAGGAGGTTCCCCATTGTTCCTACTGTTCGTAATGACAGAGCTACCAAGTCTCATGTTCTTTCTTTTCATTCAGAAGCTTCTTAACCTAGGCCTTTTGTCTGGCTTCAAGAGATTGCCTAGAAAAATTTACATGTACATGCATTTTTCTAGAAAGGGGGTCTATAGCTGTCATGGGATTTCCAAAGAGATCCAAGATTCAAAAATGGTTAAGAACACACTGACTGTCTTGTTTGGCATAGAGAAGGTGTTCAACATTTGCATGCTGAATTGAATTGAGGATAATTGGGGTTGGGGAGATGGGCCTCAGAAGGGTAGCACTCTGTTTATCCAGAAGAGTGCCCTGTGGGGAAGGACTCCTGAGTTGCCACAGTTGAGTTCCTGGTCATGGTAATTCAGAGAACACATTGCAGAAGTTGGGGAGCAGGCCAGGACAATTTCCTGATGCATATATAGCCCAGAACCCAGGACCAACTCAGCTCACCTGTGGAGGACATATTCCTAAAGAAGTTTATCGTGAGAACACTGTTGAAAGAGAGAGAAATCGCCAACCCTTCCCCTGGACTTGGAGTGTGGTGGCCAGTTTAGGGGTTCTTTGGTCTTCTAGGACTTCTCTAGAAACAAAGAAATGAAACCTGCCCCAGGGGATTCCTGCCTTCAGCTGGCCCAAGGCTCATTACAAAGTGAGACAAGGGCAGAGTTGAGCTTCCCAACCTCATGCAGAGAAGATAAATGAATATGGGGCTTTGGCAGAGAGCTGAAACAAATGTGGAGATCAAGGAGCATCACTGTCAAGCCAGTTGTCCTCTTGGCAATTGGACCAGCTTTAACTCTACTCATTTGGGCATCTTAAAAACCTAGACATGTATGATGGTTTGGCATCCCTTCAGAGACATGAAGTAAAATCAGGACATTTTTGTCCTAACAACAGAATATTATATCCCCTCTTGGCTAGCAGGACACGTGCTGTTAGAATGTGTAAAATCTGATGAACTTGGTTAGTAGGAAACAAGCATAAGAACCCTAAGTCAGCCTTCCAGTTTGGGCTATTTTGGTCTTTGTGTTTCACAGGATGTGTTTAGAGGAGAGATTTCCGTGACCACTGAAACACAGAGAAACTCGGTGCCTAAAGAAGAATGAGGGGAAACAAGAGCCTGCGTGTGTGTCCCCTGGTAAACAATGAGGCCGGAAGCATCCATCTGGAATGCAGTCAAAACAAGCAGCCGCCTGCTGAAATGCTGGGTACCCGTGTTCTCAAAATGGAACGGCTCCTTAACAAAACTTTGCTGGGGAACAGATATAAAAGGATGGGTGTGGTAAGGAGCTGTATGGGAAAAAGTTGGGAGCAAAGATTTTTTTAGCAGCCAAATAGTATGTGTTTGTGCAGGAGAGACAGAGAGAGGCAGAGAGGGAAAGAGGGGGAGAGAGAGAGAGAGAGAGAAAGAGAAGAGCAGAGAAACCGAGATTCAGTTGTTAGAAATGCTCTACGATTAAAATTCAGCCCACAATTCATCTCAGTCCCTTTCAGTGGAGTCCTGGCACTACACTCGGGTTGTGGCAGCTCCTTGAGGGATCCTGAGTATAAATATAGCCTGGGAAGAAATATATGATATGTTTCAAGATCCTTGAATTCGTCTTAATCAAGTTACAATGATGGGGGAGAGGTTCAAGCAGCAGTGCTGGCATTATTTTAATTCACCTAGTGGAAAATTACTGAAGCATATTTCATATAATTAGGGTCAAGAATGGATTTGGCATCATTTGAGGCAAAGGCCCCAAACACAAAGCCGATTCAGCTGGCATGGTTTCTAGCCTAGAGAACAGAGAGTCTGGCAACAATTAACCAGGCAAGAGGAAATAGTAGAGAGACCACTGTTTGGCCACCCTCTGCACAGACCAGGGCAAAGAATTATGGAACTCCAGCAATTAGCAGTATAACGGACCCACTGGAACACAGCAACATGCTGTGAGTAATGGCTTGTGCCTAGAACATCTCAGGAAGTTTTATGAATGTTAATTTAGTTGTGCAATAGTCCAGGAAAGTAAGTGGTCCTTGTTTTGCAAACACTAGGCTTGCTGGGAGCTGGGTCCCCCAGAGACTCACAGGTGTCCTGGGGTGAGTTGACCCTAGATCCTGAGGCTGATAGATTAAAAAAAAAGAAGAAAAGAAGTAAACCTATATTGTTAACCACATGGCTGATGAACAAAAACTAGATTTGGAACAGAACCAGGACGCTCAGCACAGATGCTTCCATTCAGGACCAAAAAAGAGTTGTCCTGAGCCTTAAAGCTGTCAGCTGTGTGCAAGAAAGGATGACAGTGAAATCCCCAAACCAGGCTCATGGCATTCTTAGGCCATAAGTGTCCAATGATCTGGCTGCCAGTGTGGGGGAAGTCTGGGGTTCAAGTGTGGCTACATCTTGGCTTGCTGGTGGATGCTACGAAGTCAGAACCAAAAGGCACACACAACATCATTGTGATTACTTTGCTTCCCCCTTAGGCTGCTCCCAGTAGATGCCTTGGGGATAGGACCAGTAGGCTTGTCTCTGGGCAGATTCCAAGAGGAGTATTGGGAAGCAAAGTACAAATTCTATTATACACAGCAGAGCACATAAATCGGTAGATAGAAAATGTAAGCCTCACAGAGGTGACCTTATGTAAGAGAGGCTTGAACAAGATGGAAGTTACTTCTCTCTCCTGTAACAACTTGGACATCAGCAGTCCAGGGCAAGTCTGATGGTTATGGTGGAGGGACCCAGTCTCCTTCAATCTTGTTCTCTGCTGTCCCTAAGGTATTCCCTTCATCTACATGGTTCAAGATGACTCATCACCACCATGTGCTCATTCCAGCAGCAAAGAAGAGCAGGACACTCCTCTACCCAATAGGAGAACAGTCTGGATGTTCCGCACATCCCTTCCCAGTGGTCCGGAAACAGTCCTGTGGCCACACCTACCCGCAAGGATGACTGGAAAATGTAATTTTTTTCCTGAGTTGCCATGCACCCAGCCAAGAATTGCATTTCTTTGGAAGCAGGAAAGAGGCAGTCTGAGGGCATAGGGGGTGATGGCAGTCAAATCTATGGCTCCCTGTTAGAAGTCTCCCACCCCATGCTCCATCATCAGTTGCCCCTCCTCTCCCTCCTCTCCCTTCACCACCTGTGCCCCACACAGCACCTCGACTTCCTCTTTGTCGCATCCTCTTCCTCCTGGGCTCCACGGTCCCACTCAGAACTCTCTTTTTGTCCTCCTCTTTTCATATTCTCTTCTTCACACGAACTGGACAGGCTTAAAAATAAGGAAAGACAAAGTCACATCTCTCATGAACATCTGGCAAGCATTTTTTTCTGGATGTAACTCCATGTATTATGTTGACCACTTTAAACAGTTACTTCCCTAAATATAGTGGAGGCCTTCCATAAATAGGAAGTGGCTCTAACATTGTTTATACTACATGGGCTCAAAAACACTAAATAAGTTTCAAACACACAATACACTAAATACATTTCAAATACACTTCTCTCTTCGTTCTAGCTGGTGGAGACATGGATGGACACATGTAAGAGACAGAAAAGGAAAGGGATGATGGCCAGACCATGTATGACAATAGGACTCTGACTCCCATAAGAAGCCCAGGGAGCCAAACCACAACCTCTGCAGCAATTGGCCCAGAACAGAGTCAGGGCTTGGTCAGTAGCTGCCAGCTTCCCTATTTTTTTTTTTTTTTTTTTTTTTTTGCCACCACTGCTGCTACAGCCTGCTTCTAATTCAAGGCCAACCAGAGGAGCCAAATATCAAATACGTTCCCCTAACCAATCGCATAGGATGCTCTGCTTCTAGTTTATGGGCCTCTGGCTCATCCATGTCTCCTGCTTCCAGCCTCTAATCAGAGGACTCCTGAAGCCATGGCTTTTCTCCCCTGTAAAGCTCTCCCACCCTTCTGTCTGCCTTGGAGTCCCTACCAAAGGCAAGTGCTAACTCCCTTGCTAGGGTAAGTTCTGGATAAATAGTCTCTGCTTGTACCTGTTTGTTTATCTTATTCATTTATTTTCACACTTGTAAAAAACTCACTGAGCTGAACATTTAAGACCAGTGCTCTTTATATTGTTTATTCTATATATCTTACCCACCCCAAATTTTTAAACCTTAACTTTGCTTGACCTTCTGAATAAAGAAAAGATGGACGATATTAGGAGCAGTAAAGGAAAAGCAAAGAACCTGGTAAAACAAAGTAAGCACCATCGGCTTCACTGGGCAATATAAGAACCAAGAACTTCTCATTGCCAGTTCATTTGAAATGCCACAGGCAGACTTAGGAACAGCTCCTTCTTTTTATGAAAAGGCCATAATCACTGTGCTAAAAAGGGAGATTGAAAGACAAGATCCCTAGAAGTTGCACATCCAGAGTTTCTGGGGCCCTGTCCTAGAGTGTGCATGCAGGTTGGTGAAACAAGACCCAGATCAAGGCACCGCTAGCTCTAAGTAATAAAACTTTACTGACTAACCCATACAGGCACCATGTTTTTTTCTCCATGCCTCTGTTCTAGGGACACACCTCTCTGTAATGATCTATTTTGTCTTAGGATATAACTTGCCCCAGCCAGTGTGCGCGCCCCCCCCCCCAATCCAGAGACCCACTAAAGGTTGGTGGGATTGGCTTCCATCTGGTCCCCAGAAGCTCTCAGAGTTACCACAAGGAAAGTTCCTCAGTTCTCTCCCATGGCTCAGGGGAGCCCTTGAGGCAAATTAAACCCAGACAATCAGAAACCAAAAGACTCCCTTACCAACAAACTGATGTTGATTCTTTTATATTTTGAAGAACTTAATTCAGGGAGGTTCTAGGAACAAAATGGAACTTTCCCCCAGTGTTTTGGCTGACTTTTTGACATAAGTTGTGAGGCATAAAATATTCAAAGAAATCAAATATAAAGAGTGAGAGTGAGGCTTAGGATTAGGGTTGAGGCATCGCTAAAAGTCGAAGAATCAACAGTATTGTTTTTGACAGGAACACCAGGCTGTTCTTCCAGATTCCAGAGCTGAATTGCAGATGTAGAGGATAAGCCCTTCTGTTTGTACTCCAGCTGGAGTGAGGTCTACTAGGGTAAAGCAGGGATGGCTGACTTCACACTCAGCAAAGGATCGGGGTGGGGGGTGGGGTGGGGGGCGCGGCGCTCCAAGGACCTGAACTCACAGCTACCACCAGGGCCACACAGGGATGGTGGGTGAAGGGAAGGATGGTCACTCACAGACGGTGGGTATGAGACTCAACTCAGTGATGTTAATGGGGTTGCAAAGTAGAAGACAGGACATTAGATATGAATGCCAGGATCAAACTAAGTATCCCCAAGTCCGCTGTGAAGCACAGGCTTCTCATCTTCACGAGGAACATGACCTGGTGGGTGTCACCAAGCCCTTCCTTGCTCTCTTCATTCATCCCAGCAGCCCTCCGAGGGGTTCTAGTATTTCCCCCATTTAAAACTGTCTGCAGATGCCCTTCTTCTGGCACCAAATGTGGTACCAATGTCACCCCAATCATATCCTCTTGACTGACAATTATCTTGGCATGCTCCCGTATCACCCTTGCCCAGAACATTCTTAGGCTCTTACCATCGAGGCCCTGAACCCCTCTGGTCCAGCAGCCACCATGTTGCTCACATGCATCCCCTCCTTTCCCATTTCCCCTGCCCTCCGCTGCTCAGGCCTCTGCAGCCCAGCCGGACTCTGGCCCTGACCGCTGAGCTGTGGGACCCAGCCTCTGTCCTCTCCTGCTGCCACCTGCCCCCCACCACCTTCCAGACTTGGCCACATCCCCCGCCTGACTCCCCAAGCCCTCGTCCCTCCAGCCCCATCCTCTACCTCACTCCCCCGAAAACCCTGCAGGCACCCTTTTGTCCAGCCTCATATGCTCTGGCTGATGCTGCCTCTTTCCCCCTTTTTAAAAAAACAGTTTTCATTATGAGCTGTAACGTTAAAAATCCCACTTAGGATGAGGACAGCAACATGAGAACTTCACTCCCCCCCACCCCACTCCCTGCCTCCCACAATGTGAAAAGACAGATAATCTACAAAAGTTCATCGGAGAACTAAGGTCACAAGGAAACCAGGTGAACTAGATTCCAAACAAGACAAAGCCCTTCAGGGAGGTAAGGGACAAATGAACTGTTTCACCTTCGGCAGAGCATGGACAGGTGAGGTTATTGTGGGCCACTATGAAACACAGCATAAAGATAGAAAACTAAAATATGCCTGTAGAGCTTCATGAATTATTGGAGAGTAAGCACCTGTATAACGGCCCCCCAGGGCAACAGACAGGTTGTTCCCTCCCCTCCTAAGAAGACCAGCACTGCTGGTTTTTATGGTAAAGGCTCCCTTGCTTTTCTTTATCCTTTTACCACTAAATGTGAGTCTCTAATCACTACAGTTCAGTTTGCCTTTTTAAACTTTACAAAATGTAGCCCCACCACAGGTCCTCTCCAGCAACCTCCTTCACTCAGCCCTGGGTGCATGAGATTCTGCCACGCTGCCCAAGAGTAGAACTTAGGCCTGTGTGTCTTTGCTCCTGAGTCCTCCTTCCTGGAAGGTCTGTCCCTCACTATCCCACCCAGTCCCCACACATACCTGCCAAATCATCACCGACCCTCAGAATTCAATGCAAATGCCCCTTCCTCCCCCAAGAAGCCCTCCCTATTGCCCCGTATGGAAGCTGCCACACCTGCTCGTGACTCCAACACCTTGAACTTATCTGCCAGCTCTTTGGCCTGCCTTGCTCTGCACCATGGTTCCTTGTCCTGAGATTACACCACGTTGTTGTGTGTCCGCAAAACCAGACACCTGGACTGTTTTCTTTATTTGGGATCTGCATGAAACAGAAGGGTCACAGACTCCACTGGGCCAGAGCTTGGCAGAGCCTGGAAGATTTTCTCCTTATTGTTTGATTGTGTCCCATGGTCCTGTAGATTTCGAGGTGTCAGGAAATAGAAGCAAGACTGCGCTTGCTCTGGGGGTTGCTCTGGGGACTGAATCCCACATTCGAACTGTTTCCGTTGTATCTGTGTCTTAGAGAAGTGATGCATAGAGTATCGCCTGGCTCTTTGAGCTTCCATATTATTTAGATTTTGGAAAAACAGGAGTTTCCTTTCTGGCTCTCTAGGACTAAGCCAGTTGGAGTATCATTTCAGTTTGAATGAAAACAGAGCTCCGTCCCTGACACTGAAATTTTGAGAAACGCAGACTGGAGAGACGGTCTTGGTGCACCTTGGATGACCCACGGCAGAGAAAGAGGTATTTGAGACACTTTAGGAAACCTGCCTCTGTGCTCCAAAAGGGACACGGGTGTGGAGGGGGAATGTGAGAGATGGGGAAGCCGAGCAGGACCCCAAAGCACCAGGTCCCATGACAGTAGCCACAAGGACCGAGTCTCTTGCCTGAGGTTGGAGCAGCATCCTCTAGGGTCCCTGTTGCCTGGTAGGGACACTGCCTGGGATCTGAGTCTTTTACCTCTATTATTGGTTATACTTCATGGAGTCTGGAAGCTGAAAACACCGGTAAGCTGAGAGGAGGAGGAAGAGTTTACCTTCGTCAAAAACATGAACAAAACCAAAGAACAGTTATTATCCCCAAGCTACATCTTAACAGCAGTGGTTGTTGACAGGTGAGTTTATGGTGAGGAATGGAAGGGGGTGTCTGTCTGTCCTGCACCTTTATAAATTGTTTGAAAGCTTTTATAACAATGAAAATATTTGATCAAGGAAACCCAAGAACAAAGTAAAGGTATAACACTAGTTTCTTAGCAAGCATGCAGCCATTCCCCTCCAGACTCTCCCCACCCCTACCCCCTACTCCATGTTGTGGACCCACCTGGACCAGACACCCAATGCCTTTATCCCACAAGCAGCTTCTCCTCTTGCTGCCTGTTTCCCTCCTCCCCTCCCCTCTCTACAGTGTTCTGCAAGAAACCATGGGAGATAGCTCTCCTATCCTACCCCACCCTGCTCATAGCATATTCCATTGCTCCAGCTGAGGGGCCTGCCCTGTGTAACTGTCACATTGGATAGATTGCCTCATGGCAAGGTATTCATGCCTGGGCTAATGCCTATATTTCCCCCACCATGAAATGGTATTTAGAGTTACAAGCTGTTCCACTCCATTTTATCTAATGATGTCACTTCTTAGATTATATTCCAGAGAGATCACCCAAAGAGGGTGGAATGGGTACTGCTGATGCCCCGCCCAGATCCCCTCTACCATGCCAGAGCACCGGTCCCACCCCTGTGGGATTTTGGCAGCAAACAGCCTACCCCTTCCCCAGGCTGACTCCCCGGGGAGCTTATGTGCCCTCCTCTACCACCCAGGGCAGTCTTCAGCCTATAATTGACTCAAGTTTCTTTGC